TTCTAGTTGTTTCCATGATTACGGAGCAAGCGTCTAAAATTTTTCATAGTTCCTTTCATTAATGATGGAGATTGATCTCCTTACATTTTTCTTTTTATTTTTTTATTTCTTTTTTTACATTTTTCTTTTTAAAGATTCTTTTATGGGTAACATGATAGCAATCCTTCCTCAACATCTTAGACATTGCCCTGTAAACACCTTCATTTGTTCTTTGTTGTTTTGATTTTTTTTTAAATAAGTAACTACCAGAAAGAGCATATCATTCTGGTTAGGTGTGGTCACATTAGTCCTGCTCAAGGTGACCCTGTTCTCAGCAGAACAAAACACTGCCTTGTCCTTAACATCCTTATAGTAGTGAGTTGCTTAAATCCATTGTTACAGATAACAGAAGAATTGATGCTTTTGAGTTTTGGTGTTAGAGAAGAGCACTTGAACATGCCATGGAATACCAGGAGAATAAACAAGTCTGTCCTGGAGAGGGTGAAGCCATGTTACTTATTGCAGGCAAGGAGTGTGAAACTCAGTCTCACATACTTTGGGCGTGTTGCCAGGAGGGACCAGTCCTAGGAGAAGGACATCATGCTTGGAAGGATGGAGGATCAGCACAGGAGCCGAAGAGCCTGAATGAGATGAATTGACTCAGTGACTGTGGCAATAGAGGGAGGTGTGTTGGAGACTGCGATATTGGCTAAGGATAGGGCAAGGTTCAGAGCTGTTGTTCATAGGGTCTCTTTGAGACAGCACATAACAACGACAATAATTAATGTGTACTTTTTTCATTCATATACATCATATTTCACATATTCATGTTGTGTTCCATAGGCTTATTTCCATACATTGTGTTTTATAAAATTAATAACCATTTATCCATACCAACTATTACCCCATATTTTTTATATCTCACTGGATCTCCTAATTCGTTCACCATCTCCCTCTGTCTGCTAAACTCTTTGACCTTGTGATGTTCCACCCCTGCAGACTCACAGCCCCTTCCTTCCCTCTTTGGACGTTTATTCACATCTTATTAGTTATTCTATTTTTACAATAATGATCTTTTGCAGTATTGGTCCTTATGAGACTAAATTCGCTCACTTGCATAATGCTGTCTAACCTATCCCATTTTTATTTGTTTTGATCTGCTTCTTTCTGATTGCCAGTGATTTTGAGCATTTCTTCCTGTGTCTGTTGGCCATTCAGATACCTTCCTCTGTGAAAAGACTTTCCATGTCTTTTGCTCATTTTGTAGTTGGGTTAATCAGTCTTTTTTTTTTTTTTTGAGAAAAATTTATTACATTTAGAATTAGCCTGCTGGACTCAGTTTAGATGATCCCAATTTTGTTGGCAGCATCCAAAGCATCATAATCAGGAGCAAGTCGAACATAGGCCTTCTTCTCTCCATCAGGTCTAATCAAAGTGTTGACCTTAGCCACATCAATGTCATAGAGCTTCTTTACAGCTTGTTTAATTTGGTGCTTATTGGCCTTGACATCCACAATGAACACAAGTGTGGTGTTATCTTCTATCTTCTTCATAGCTGACTCAGTGGTCAGGGGAAATTTGATGATGGCATAGTGGTCAAGCTTGTTTCTCCTGGGAGCGCTCTTCTGGGGGTATTTGGGCTGCCGTGGGAGTCTCAGCATCTTAGGCCGCCGGAATGTGGGTGACGTGCGGATCTTCTTTTTTTTTTTGGCTGTGGACACCCTTCAGGACTGCCTTCTTGGCCTTCAATGCCTTTGCTTTGGCTTCAGTTTTGGGAGGGGCAGGGGCTTCCTTCTTCGCTTTCGGTGCCATATTCGTAGAAAGGGCGGGTTATCAGTCTTTTTCTTGTGGAAGCCCTGTTGTTGTTATGTGTCGTCAAGTAGCTTGTGACTCAGAGAGACCGTGTGTAGAACAGCCCTAAACCCTGCTCTATCCTGAACCAACCTTATTGTCTCTGACACATCTACCCCCATTACTCCGGTCACTGAACCAATCCATCCTATCGAGGGTCTTCCTCTCTTGCACTGTCCCTCCACCCTCCCAAGCATGATTTCCCTCTCTAAGGACTGGTCACTCCTTGCAACATGGCCATAGTGTGTCAGATGAAGCTTCAAAATCCTTGCCTCCAAGGAGCAGCCTCGTTTCATCCTTTCTAAGAAAAACCTGTTTGTTCTAGCAGTTCATGATATATTCAATACTCTTCTTCAGCACTAATCAATCAGTTCTCCTTCTGTCATCTCTAGTCATTGTCCAGCTTTCTGATGTATAGCAAGTAATTGTGAAGACCATGGCCTGGATCAGGTACACCTTAGTTGCTAGACTGACATTGTTGCTCTTCAGTACTCTGGATATGTCCCTGACAGCAGACTTTCCCAGTGCAGTTCATCTTTTGATTTCCTTGCTGCTCATACCAAGAGTATTGATTGTGGAACCAAGCAAACTGAAACTGTTAACAGTCTCAATCTCCTCACCATTTATCATGATGCTGCCAATTGGCTCAGTGGTGAGAATCTTTGTTTTCTTGATGTTGAACTTCAATCCTTATTGAAGGCTACAGTCCTTGACCTTCTGCAGCAAGCGCTTCAGGTCCTCCTCAGTTTCAGCCCTAGAGTATTCTGTACACTTTCGTTATGAGACCCTCATCTGAGATGATAGTGCCAAATATTTTTTTTTTCCTCAGTCATTAGGTTTTCTTTTCATCCTATTAGAAAAAGTTTTTGATGCACACACTCAAGGACTTAATCTTTAGAACGTTCCATTCATCGATGTTATCCTCTCTTGGTTGTGTATAAAGAGATCTTTTGCAGCAGATTTACCCAATGCAATCTATAATTTTATGTTATTTCCATGGATGTTGATTGTGGATCTTAGTAGAATGAAATCCTTGAAAACTTCATTTGAAAACATTTCAGGTGAGAATAAGCATATTATTAAGACTAATGGTATTGAGTGACTAAGTCCAAGCTGCACTGAAGACAACTGGTAAAAGACAAGGTTCCAGAGAATGTAAAAAAAAAAAAATAGATTTAAGACTAGAAGAGCTCACTTGTCTATGCCAAGAAATTTGAAAGATAGCTATTGTAAACCAGTTGAAAGAGTTCCGTATTTGTGGCTCTTCCAAAGAAAGGTGGTACAATGGAATGTGAAAATTATGGAATAACATCATTAAATATGCAAGTAAAATTTCACTGAAGATAATTAAAAAATAGCTGTAGCAACATATTGACAGGCAATTGCCAGAAGAGGAATGGAACAAAGGGTATCATTGCTGATATCAAATAGATGTAGACTGAAAGGAGAATACCAGAAAGATATTTACCTGTATTTACTATCTTGGCAAAGACATGCAAATTGATCATAACAAATTATATTGCAAAGCATGAGAATTCCAGAATACTTAAAATACTTTCACCATATTTACAGAGTCTGTATTGACCATATTGTCTTAAAAGTGAGATTTAGGGGAGCTCTGGTGGCCTAGTGGCAAGGAGCTGCAACTACAATCCCAGAGGCGAACGGTTCGAATCTACCAGATGCTCTGCCGGGTAAGGAGGGACAATCTCCTCCTGTACCAGTCAGATCTGATTTGATGGTACACGCACACAAAAATAATAAAATAAATTTTAAAAAAGTGAGACTTAATGTGTAGACAATGTGGCATCAGGATTGGAGGAAAGCCTGTTAACAACCTGCAGTATGCAGATGACATCATCTTGCTTGCTAAAAGTGAACTTGAAGCTGTTACTCATGAAGATAGGAGACCACAGCCTTCAAAATAGATTGTATTTTAAAATCATGAAAACAGAAGTCATCACAAATGGACCAGTAAAACAACATCATGATATAAACAGGATAAATAATGACGTTGTCAAGACAGTCATGTCAGCTATAATATGACCCTTTCGATTCTATTTGTTACTGCAATAAATTGTCACTGGCTTTTGTATGTATTTGACAGTTGGATTCTCTGCCAATTATCTACTAAAATAACCAAAATTTACCTTTATTCACATTGTTAATAAAAATTCTCAGGATCTTTCTCCTAATCATGTTAATCATGTTTCTCCTGTTTGTAAAGTGAAATTTTTTGTAGTCAAGTGTAGGACTTTATCTTTAGTTCTATCAGAGTTTATGGTTGTAGCCTGTCAAGACAGTTTAAAACTTTATTTCGACATCTTGCTGTGCTGTTAGGGAGCTCTGGTAACCTAGTGTGTCGGGAGTTGCACTGCTACCCAGAGGCAGCTCCCTGGGAGAAAGATGGCCAGTCGGTCTCGTGTGTGATTTATAACCTCAGAAAACCCACTGGAGAATCAGCTAGGAATGGAACTTGACAGCAATGAGGAAGAGAGAGTACTGTGCTGTTTGGATTCTTTCTCTGCTTGATGTAGCTGAATGTAATGGATGTCTAGGCATTTTAATGCTCTCCATTGTAAGATCAGGTATTTTCTTAAGTGCTTTACATTGTTTTTTTTGAAAAATTTTTTTACTGGTTTGCATATAATAATTTGTTTACATTGTGCTTCATTCATGGTTATTGTTGGGGGGTTTCCCACCTCCCCACTCCACCCACCAAACTGTGATCTCATGATTTTCCCCTTCCTGATCCCCAGCTCCCTGTTCCAGTGCTTTTACATTTATTAACTCATTTTATCGTCATAGTAATCTTAAGAAGTTGTTACTGTTTTATTTACATGAACTTCTTGTGACACTTAATTCTCCTTAATTATATATTTAATTTTGTAACTATCTTTTAAAAAAGTATAACTCATAAGCATATCCCCAAATAATACATTCCACTTAAAAATTTTATTTTTTGGAAAAATTTAGACCCTTGCTGAGGTAAAAAGTTATCTTGTACTCTCTCCATTATAATCATCATCCTCAATTGAGAAAGTTTCCATTTTTGTCCTTTTAAATAGCATATTTAATTAGTGTACCTGGTAGCACACATGGTCAGAATGTTCACAGTCTAATGATTTTTACAGGATATTGAGTTATACAGTACATTTCAAGGAAATAAAATGGATGATGAACCTGAGCGAACAAAGCGATGGGAAGGAGGTTATGAAAGAACATGGTAAGCACTTGATTGTTTCCTTACCCTCCAGTTTAGGTGTTCCTATTTCCCCCTAAGAGCTTACTGAGGTATATTTTACATATTTTATAATTCACCCAATCCTAATCTCTAACTCAATGATTTTTTTTTTAATTTACTGAAATTTTTTAAATTACTATCACCATAACCAACTTTCAAATATTTTCACCTCTTTAACATAAAAGCACTGCTATTTTAAGTTTTATATCTAATCAGTCGCTGTCATCAGTTTTATTCCATGAAGGTAGACCTTGAAAACTCAGTGTTGATGGTCACATTCTGTGCTAGTTAACACGTTGCCACAAATGACAGCTTTAGCCATCCTGTACATTTTAATTAATGAAAAGAGGGACATCATTCATACGAAGTGTGCTAATGCATTTTTTTGTTAATTATTCAATAATACATCAAAAAAATGTGTTTCTAAGCACAGTCGTCAATTTAAAAGTGAGCGGCAACGTGTTAAACTTTTTTTAAAAGAAGAGTTTCTGGGTATAATTTTAGGATAAAGTTTATCTCAGGACAATAGTTTCAGAAGTCCATCCAACCTCCATGGCTCAAAAGAGTCTACGTTCTATGAAAATGTGAAATTGTGTGCTGTATTTTCTCCCTTTTGGTGTGGAATCTTTAATCAAAATGTCCAGTTTTGGTCTCTGGGCAAAAAAGGGCAGGTGTTCATGCAGGCAGTTAACTACATATTTCATTTCCTTCTTAGGGAGATTCTTAAAGAAGATGAATCTGGATCCCTTAAACCTACGATAGAAGACATTCTCTTCAAAGCCAAGAGAAAAAGGTATGTTTGTTTTCATAAGAGTTTTACAGAAGGTAAAATACATTTCTTTACATTTTTCTCTCCACTTATACCAACTCTGCAGTAATTAGTTTCAGTTGTATTGAGGAAACCTGGCCTTTTAAATAGAGTGAGACCCAGGGACCTGCATTGGTTCAGCAGGGAACTAGGTCTTCAGGAGGTGGTTCAAAATGTCTATGATTATGTGGTGTTCATATTTCAGTAATTTTAAATACTTATAGTTGTGTTAGATAATGTGGATTAGTTGGAAGGTTTTACTGATTTTTAGAGTAGTAAATGATATTTAATTAAAATTTTTGCATCATTTTAACAGAGTGTTTGAGCACCATGGACAAGTTCGACTTGGAATGGTATGTTTTTTTTTTCCCCTCACTGGTATAGAACTAGTTAGAGTAGAAAAACATCATTGCTTAGTAGAATAAGCAATAGTAAAATAACAAACAGTTTAAAAGACTACTTAAAGTGTATATGTAGATTAAAGAGAATTAAAATGTTGTTTTAATTTTTTATCAGAATGTATTTGAAAATTGCCCTTATATAATTTTTTTTTGATAGATGCGCCACCTTTATGTGGTAGTAGATGGATCAAGAACAATGGAAGACCAAGATTTAAAGCCCAATAGACTGACATGTACTTTAAAGGTATAGTAAAATCATTTTTATTTATACCAAATGCGGAGAAAGCTGCCCAAGCGAGCAAAACAAGCTCTGTGCTTGATGGTCAGTAAATTTACCAACATGACGATGAAAGGAGGAAACAAAATGCTGGCCAAATTCCCCGTCATATAAACTTTGAAAGAGGTAAAAAGGAACTAGTCAGAGAATACCGTGATGCTTCTGTAGAGAAGCTGGCAGCCTTCAAGTGCAGCCCTACACCATCTTCCACCAGGCTCTGAAAAACTGTGAGCCTCTCTGGTGGGGCTGCTACCCATCCTCAAAAGTGGCCACTTCTACCAGGTCCTTGTGCCTTTAGCTAAGAAGCATGCCTACTTCCTGCCAACGAAGTGAGTGATTACTATGTGCTCAGAGAAGAAGCATTTCACTAAAGAACACATTCAGATGGCTACAAGCACATGAAGAAATGCTCAAACTCCCTAGCTCTAAGGTAGATGCACATTAAAGCAACTATGATATATCATCTCACCCCAGTCAAAATAGCAAGATTTAACAGAACAGCAAGCAACAAATGCGGGCAAGGTTGTGGAGAAACTGGAACCCGTATTCACTGTTGGTGGGAGTGTAAAATGATGCAACCACTGTGGAAAGCGGTATGGAGCTTTTTCAAAAAGTTGCAAATAGAGATACCATTTGACCCAGCAATTCCACTACTGGGAATATACCCCAAAGAGACTGTAACTGACATCCAAGCAGATATATGCACACCCCTGTTTATCGTGGCTTTGTTCACAGTAGCAAGGAGTTGGAAACAACCTAAGTGCCCATCAGCAAACGAATGGATAGAGAAGCTGTGGTATATTCACATAATGGAATACTATGCTGCATTGAAAAACAAGGAACTCATGCAATATTTTTCAAAATGGGTGACCCTAGAGGACATGCTGAGTGAAGTGTCTCAGTCACAAAAAGACAAATACTGCATGGTGCCACTGTTGTAAAACAGGACTGACCTTGGGGTTGGGGGGAGAAAGATGGGTTCAATAATGTATACTGCATTGAAACAGATGAGGGAGAAAACGGTTTAAAAGGGATATGTGATTAGGTATTTTTGTCATGACAGGAGTCTAGAGCGAAGGCTGCATGGTGGAGTGGACCTGGGGGAGGGATTGTAAAACAATGAAAGACTTTTTCTTTTACTTTTCCAAGAGGGTAGTGTCCTAGGGGGGAGGGTTGGGAGGGGAGAAAAGTGCAACAACGAATGAATGGAAATCCAAAGTCTCTAAATTTTCATTGAAATGAATAATAAAAAAAGAATTAAAGAAAGAAGCAGCATTGACAGCCAATAATGCCAGAGAAGCTACTACATGGAATACTGCAGTGTTTCCACATGTGAGGTCCTGTGATCAGAGGAAACACCGCATGCACAAGATAGCCGAGGCCACCTGTGGCAGGTTGGAAAGTCCCTGTGGTTTAAGGATGTAGTTCTTTGCAAGAGTTAGCTCACAAAGATGGTGATGCAAGCTTGTTGCTCATTAACTTTTTCTTTGGGAGCTAGAACATGCCCCTCTTAGCTCATCTCCTTGCACAGAGGAAATATGTTGACTTAGAGATTTATCCCAAGAAACTCAAGTTCACACAACTGCCTCTTCATAGCTTGGAGTAGTCTTTTGGCTGATGTGAGAGGAAGCTGTTTTAGTATCAAAAATTTGTTTAGAAAGCTTTCTGTGAGCCAACATAGCACGTGGTTCACTACAGTAATTCATTGAAGCCAATTGGAGAAAATAAGCTTGTTTTTCAAAGTGGTCCTTACATTATTGTTTTTGTTGTTAGGTGCTATCGAGTCAAGCACAATGCATAGAGAACCTATGAACAAAAGATCTGAACCTTCTTCAATGCTGTGCCATCCTCACACTTACTGACATACAAAAGCCCACTGAAGTAGTCACTGTGTCAATCCACCTGGTTGGAGGTCTTCCTCTCATTTGCCAACTCTTCACCCTTCCCAGCCTCATGTCCTTCTCTAAGCAACATATCCATAAAGTATGTGAGTTAGAGCCTCATCATTATTGCCTCCAAAGAGCACTCTGGCTGCACCATTTCAAAGATATATCTGTTCTCTTGGTCATCCTTGGGATGTTCACTGCTGTGTGAACAGAGCAGTGGAGCACTGCATGGTTTGGAATTGGGAAGGGAGTGTGTCAGGGTTGTATTCTGTCTCCAAACCTATTCAGTCTGTATGCTGAACAAATTCTCCAAGAAGTTGGATCTCTATGAAGAGAAGTGTGGCATCAGGATTGGAGGGAGACTCACCAATAACCTGTGTTATGTGGATGACACAACCTTGCTTGCTGAAAGTGAAGAGGACTTGAAGCACTATTGCAGAAGATCAAGGAATACAGCCTTCAGTATGGGTTGTGTCTCAATCTCAAGAAAACAAAGATTCTTAACACTGGACTGATAGGCAGTGTCCTGATGGGTGGAGATGAGATTGAAACTGTCAACAGCTTCATCTTGCTTGGCTCTACAATTAACACCCATGGTATGAGCAGTCAGGAAATAAGGGAGACTCATTGCACTGGGAAAATATGCAGTTAGGAACCTTTCCAAATTATTGAAGAGTCGTAATATCAGTTTGAAGAGTAGGGTGCCTCTTAGGCCATAATCTTTCTGATTACTTGTTATACATCTGAGAGCTGGATAGTGAATAAGGATGACAGAAAAAGAACTGATGCCTTTGAGCTGCGGTGCTGGTCCTTATATAAATAGTATAAAAATTTGAAAAAACATCTTTCTCAATTCTGCTCATTTAGCTGCCTCTGTCTTAATTGGATTGATGGTGACAGTCACAGTGACTGTAAATATGGGCATTCTGGAGACCATGTGAGTTGTTGGAGCAGGATAAGGCAGGGTTTACATCTGTTGTTCATCAGGTCACTGTGATTTGTAGGCAGTTTATTGGCACATAACAGCAACATTCTTCACTGGACCTGTTCCTTTGTTAAATTATTTCCATCTGATGTATCCAAATAGATTTTTCTTTTAAGTCAGATCCATCTTATCCTTTAAAATCAAGTTTTGGGTTTTTCTTTTTAACTAGGTGATTTATATTTCCACTAGTAAACTTTGGGGGAAAAAATCCACTAGAAGTTGAAAAATCATGGAAAGAATTGCTTAAAAACTCAGTTTCACAAAATATTCAATGAAAATATTCTATATGGTTGTATTTTGCTTTTACCACTCTTACTTTTCTTTCAACAGTTGTTGGAGTATTTTGTAGAGGAATATTTTGACCAAAATCCTATCAGTCAGATTGGAATAATTGTAACTAAGAGTAAAAGAGCTGAAAAACTGACTGAATAGTGAATGATTTTGAAGGGTGGAGATGACATGTACTTTAAAGTTGTTGGAGTATTTTGTAGAGGAATATTTTGACCAAAATCCTATCAGTCAGGTATGTGCGTACATAGTGATAGAATTTAGAATTCGATTCATGATATTGTTGCAAAATGTAATTTGTTTGAATTAGTAAACTATTTAAATTGAGAGTGGAAAGCAGAGTAACTCTAAAATTGAAAGCAATTATAGTGAGCTCATAGCTAGATCTGTTCCCTTCTTTGTAATAATTAGTTAATGTTAATTCTTTGTGTATATTTTACAAACAAAAATTTATTTTTGATAGTTTGTTGCCATTTTAGGTTATTGGTTTAAAATGCATTGTATACTGACATATGCTTATTAAGAGATAAGGAGAAAAGCCTATTTCCAAATTGTAAGATATTCATAGAGGATTTGAGATTTACAAAGAACAAAATCCTTACTCTGTTAAAACCAGGAAAAAAAAAATTAGTTTTACAAAGAGTGTTACAATTTGATATCACAAAACACCTTGTGAAGGCACCAGGTAGGGAGCTTTGGTGGCGCAGTATATAACAACTGTTAACCCGAATACAGCACCCTATCTGGCAATTCAAATCCCGACAGACCTGGTGGAGGGTCAGTTATGAGTCAGTTTCTTATCTATTATTGTTGCTTTTGTTAAGTTCTTTAGAGTCGTAGACAACTCATAGCAACCATGTGAACGAAAGACCTGAATACTTGTATAACTTTCATCATTTCTCCACATTCATAGAGACAAGCTATTTCAGAAGTGGATGCCACTCCTGCTTCCAAGGTTGTTTTAATCAGGGAGCTCCACCAAACACTGTCCACCATGGATAACCATTCTCACACTTGACACATCAGTGTCACAGTGTTGAGCATCACAGCAACCACTAGTTACCTCTCTTCACCAAAAACAATTAAAACCAGGCCTGGGGGTCGCATGAGTTAAGTTTAATTGCCTCAAAGTTCACAAAGGAATGCAAGACTTGTCTATTAAAAGCAAGCATAACTGCACCCACAGGATGCTGACTCTTCTTAAAGCATAATAATGGATTCTCTTAAATTAACAGTAAATTATTTTTTGTTTTATTTTTAGATTGGAATAATTGTAACTAAGAGTAAAAGAGCTGAAAAACTGACTGAACTCTCAGGTATGGGTTTTTTATACCTTTGCATTGTATTATTGCTATTAAGTTGGAACTAACTCATAGCAGACCCTCCAGTGGGTTTTCAGAGGCTTTAACTCGCATGTGAGGAGGGTGGCCCATCTTTCTCCCTCGGGGCTACTGGTGAATGAGAAGCACCACCTTTGAGTCATCAGCACAGCTTCCTGCAGACTGCTCCTCCAGAACTCCTTGTTATACATATATGGGTGTGCATAAAATGACCTGTATTAGATAGTAGACATAAGGACATAGGAGTTTGCTTTATTTACCTAACCTTGTAACCCTGTTAATATGTCTGCTCCTTACTAAGTAAAAAGACAACTTTCTTCTAAACATTGTTAAACAACTTCTAAAGAAACCCTTCATTACACTCTGGATTCTAGCTATTTTAAATTAAGTTCTGCACAGTACTGCATTGTTTTATAGTGAATATAAATATATTTATTTAAGATCAATGTAGTCTTACCCCAGTAATAAGGACAGAGTTGGACTTCTTGAGGGACATTTTGCATCTAACATTTTGTGATCCCAAGAAATCTAAAATACTTAATTATGGCACACGATACTGGGAAGCTTAAAAAGTAGATGGATAGGCAAAGAAGACAATTTATTCCAGAATAAAACAGAAGGACAGAAAGCTAAAGAAGTGGTCAAAGAAACAGACTAACTTCGTATAATTTTATTATTCTGAAATGGCAAAATAGAGTTTTAAAGGCAATATATTACTTAATGAACCATGGGGGGGGAAATACACTCACAATACCAGTCTTATAAATAAATGAGTTTACTTTTTCTTTTTTTAAGGGAAAAAGAAAGAGTAGTAAATATTGTCCCTTAAAAGTAGGAAATATTAAAAAAAATAAAAGTAGGAAATGTTATGAAAGAAGAAATAGACTCACATGGCAACAGGATCAGAAGACTCACCCAAAACCTGCATTATGAAAATTACATACACATGCTCAGTGAAAGTGAGGAAGACTTGAAGTGTTTGCTGCAGAATAACTGAAATTGCCAATAATTACATCTTACTTGAATCCACAGTCAACACTCTTTGCACCAGCAGTCAAGAAATGAAGATATGCCACATTGGGAAAAATCTGCTAAAGAGAAATGATCTCAGTTTAAAGATTAAGGTGCATCTGATCAAAATCATGGTCTCAGTTGCTTGCTGAGAACATCTGAAAGTTGAACAGTGACTATGGATGACAGAAGAGGAATTCCTGACTTTGATTTGAAATGTGGTAGAAGAATATTGAGTATCTCATGAACTGCCAAGAAAACAAACAAGTCTGTCCTGGAGGAAATGAAACCAGGGTGCTACTTGGAGGCAAGAACGGTGAAACTCAAATTTTGTATACTTCGAGCTTATTATTAAGAAGGACCAGTCCTTCGAAATCTACATCATGCTTAGAAAGATGGAGAGTCAGTGGAAGAGAAGTAGACCTTCAAAAGATGGGTTGATGCAGTAACTGTAGCAGTTGGCTCAGATGTGTTGGAGATAGTATGAGGATGACACAGGAGAGGGTAGGGTTTAGATCTATTGTTTATAGGATTGCTATGAGTTGAAGTCAACTTGACAACACAGAACAACAATGTACAAGAATATAAAGAAACTCTGGTAGAGTAATCCATAGAGAGTTGCAATGCTAACATAAAGACCAAGCTTCTCTGACGTCGTGAATCTATGAGCTGCTCTGTGGGAAAAAGATGGACAGTTTCCTCTAATGTGATTTATAACCTTGGAAACTTGTTGAGAATCAGTCATGAGTCAAAACTGACTTGACAGCAATGAGAAGGATATAGGGATAGTATTTGAAGCACTCTGGTAGTGAAAAATTGAAAATAACTTGGTCAACAATAATTTTATTAATTATACAATATGATAAACCAATTTAATGAAAAGTCAATTATTAATTAATATGAAGATGATTTTGGAATAGGAGAAAAAGGTTCTTTGGATATCAAATTCTAGAAGAGAAAAATCTTTATTTTATGAACCATCAAGAAGGGAAAACATTGCCAGTTAAAATTTCACATGATGTCAAATGTGTGATTATTCATACCAATTTCCAGGTGCTCTAGTATTTGTCAAATTTTAGAAATTTGATAGGTTCTCCTGCCTGCTTTTGTATATTTTTGGCATAAAGTAGACAGTCTTTTCAAATGCATTGACAGAAGATAACACAACTTTGTAAACATTTGTGAATTCTCCCTTAGGTCTCGAAAATTCATGTCCCTCTCTTCATCCCATTAGGAAAGTATGAAACTTGCAGACACTCTTCTATCAGTGCATATTTTCTTTGCTAATAACATATTTACACCTGTATTCTATGTCTGTCTACACGCAGATAGAACATTTTGTATTAATAACTCTTAAAAAACATTTTAAATGGCATTTACACAACATAAATAGCATCAGCAATGTATGTACATTATGCATTTGAAGTGACACATTTGCACGTGAGTCACTAATACTATCTAGGTAGAGCTTGATCATTAGATGCATTTGGATTTCAGAAATGTTTAAGTATGAAAATCTATTAGAGATGATGCAAGAAGCACAGGTAACATGATGTCTTATTTATTGGACTGTTAACTAAGGGTTCCAAACCACTAGCTGCTCTATGGGAGAAAAATGAGACCGTGTCCTCCTGTAAAGCTTTACAGCCTCGGAAACACTATCAATGGAAGAGAATTTTTCTTGTTTAGTAACAGTGGTGGTGTAGTCTGTAGGGACCTGCACTGCCAATCCACAACCCGAGCCTCTTGGACCTTTTAGAATGACCAGCAGCTCTGAAGGACAAAGATGTGCACTCTCCTCCTGTGCAATTTACAGCCTTGGAAACTCAATGGAAGTTCAACGTTGAGTTGATTTCAACTCCACACAGTAAGAATAATGAAATAACAAAAGTAAAATATTTAACACTGTGCAACTAGATACCAAAAAAAAAGTAGACTACTACTTTTATTTTTTCAGAGAAAAAGATATTAGTATTTTTTATAAAGTATAACTTGCAAGTAGTATAAATCAAAGTAATTTTGTGCCTTAATGTTGTAGATCTTGAAATCTAAAGAGACATAAATTTCTATAATGTATATATTACATTTTATGAAAAGTAAGTTACTCTATTTCTATCCTAGGAAATCCAAGGAAACATATAACATCTTTAAAGAAAGCTGTTGATATGACCTGCCATGGAGAACCATCTCTTTATAATTCCTTAAGCATGGCTATGCAGACTTTGAAGTGAGTA